AGTAGATTATTGTAGATCTTTCAAGGTCGGCATTAATTGTAATTGACTCACCATGAAGGTTGTGGAATTTGAGTTTGAGTTGGATCGACGAAGCCACGACATCTAAGGTCGGTGCAAAAGGTTTTTCGAGGATACAATTGTAGACATTCTTGCACATTACTATAGGAAACTACGAGTCTATGATCTTGACGTCTCTTTCTTCACCCACAATATCCTTAACTCAATGTATCCCCATGGGCGAGTGGTCATACCGTTGAACAATTGTAATTTGACCCTTCACATGGCCACAAGTTCTTCTTCTTAAGGCCATTTTTTCAAACATATCGGAATACACTATGTCACAAGAGATGTCGCCATTAATAAGTATGCATGACACATCAAATTGGCAGATCGCAAAATTAATGACAACAGGGAAGATGTCATTTAGGGCTCCCCCGATCTTTTTTATATCCCAGAAACCAAGCATTGGCCTATCTATTGTCTTTACTGAGGAGCTTTAGTATTTCTTATGAAAGACCATTAATTCAAAAATATTAATCTTCATAGTTTCCTTTGACGAGATATTCGGTCAAGATGCTCCTGGAGTGATAGCCAAAGTATGTTGGAGCTTCCTCTTGTTTGCTCCTTTGTTTTCCCTACTGGTGTCTTCGCTGTTAGCTTTAACATCCATAGTCTTGGATAGGGATTTTTTTTTCCGGTGACTCTTCCATGTCTCTCTTCCCTATCTAGGTATACTCAAATAAATGGCCCATCTTTATCAAACCATCGGTTACGTCCTTCAACTAGATGCATTAGTTTGTGGTGTGGCAACGACCCTTGTCAAAATGACAATATTTAGTCATGTTAGTTCTGAGGTTGATGGTGGCACTGGTAGTCAGAGCGAAGGCTCACCTAGTTGGAGCTACAAAAAAATCATGTGATCTGAGGAGGTTAGAGGATATTTGAATTTAGTAGAGTGTTTACGATGGTCTGATCCACACCGCCTTGAGAAGGAGGCGATTGATTTCTTGCGGCTTGGACAACACCAGCGGCTGAGTGAGTGACTTTATATCCAACCATTATCGAAAGATCTAAAGACTGGAGATTTAGAATTTCTGAAAATCAGAGTTGACCTATTATTGAAATAGATACAAAAGATAGATATGTGGCTCGTGTTGAGTGAGAATATGGACACAAAGAGACCTAGGGGGTTGAATAGACCCTTTTCCTTAAGACAATTTCAACAAAAAATTAGGTCTCACAAATGAAATCAGATATTTTAAGAAGCATGGAAGCAAAACAGGAAAACAAGAGAGCTTGAAAGCATGTCAATGAATTTCACCAAATGAAATAATACAAGATGTTACTAAGTGCTTGATTGCTTTTAATGCAAGTCAATCACAAGACAACCAAAACCAATACCAAAAAGGTGATTTAAAAAACTCTTCACATAAATATTCTATCAAGTTATAATTGGATTCATGATAATTCTATAAGATTGATACACCACAAACTCAAGCTTATACATAAAATCTCTATAATTATAGTCTAACTTATGTGGCATACAATCAATGTAATTATGCAATAACAATATTAATGGATGCTAGTAAAGTAAATGAGATAAGGGAAGAAGAAAAGATACACAAGGATATATAGTGGTCCAGGAATCATCCTTGCTTTGCCTCTTCATTCTTCAATGGTGTTAATTAACTAGTGGAAAATAATCATTGTCTTCCATAATTTGGATAAGTTTTATACATGCATTTTGGATACAACGAACTATCACATGATAATTCACTCTGTTGATGTAGACACTCAAACTACTAACAAAAAAACATGATCTTTAAATATCTTGATCCAATAACCTTGCTATCCATAATAACCTGCCTTAAGATTTCGTGGATGGTGTAACGCCCCATATGCTTTTAGGATCACATGATAATTCACTCTGTTGATGCAAACACTCAAACTACTAACAAAAAAACATGATATTTAAATATCTTGATCCAATAACCTTGCTATCCACAATAACCTGCCTTAAGATTTCGTGTATGGTGTAACTCCCCATAATGCTTTTAGGATTACCGACTGACCCCACAAACCAACACGGGTCTTTTCAGCATGCTTTTCCCTTACTCACATGCTTTCCGGGAAACTTCCCACCGGAAAACTTCCCAGAAGGTCGCACGCTTAACTGTGGAGTTCTTATGAACGGGCTACCGAAAATAAGATGCATCATGTTAGTATAGATAGTACCAATTAATCCTTATAAGCCTTCCTTCAACCATGAAGTCCCATACCTGCATAGCCTTAGGATCCCTCTCATTCCGATGTGAATTCAGTTTTTCCCTAGAAGCTGCTAGGAGTGTCTTATTGTCATGCCTCATGCACCGACAACCACTCCCTCGCCCTCGGGTGTTACATGTAACCACTCTTTGCCCTCTTCGGCCTCGAGTGTTACATATGGCAATCCACCTGATCCCACTGATTTCTTGTTAGAGCGATTGCCATTAGCTAAGCTTTGATTGGAAAACTCCCAACTTTTTATGTGAGCAATATTTCTCCAACTCCACCAAAGAAGGATAACTTCCAACTTTTCCTTACGGACAATTGATATTTGATCTTGCCAAAATCTTCCTTTGAGTATATTGAAAATATCCCCTTAATAGATGACAATAAAGACCAAAACGCATTTAAGAAATGGTACTTGTACGTGTTACAACGAACAAGCTTCACACCAAAACATTAGATAGCTTAAGGATGAAGATGATGAACATTGCCAAAATATCTCGGAAATAATCTAAAAATACCAGGTGTTAGTCAAGGGGTTAGATGAATGTGAATAAAGAATACACGCGCGCGTGCACCATGTCATCTGAAGTTTTTGCGTAAATAAGCTTAATTAATCATAAACAACACAACAAGATTAATCAACTTACTTTATCTAATTCAATAAAAACAACAACAAATTGCACAAAATAAGATGCAACAAAAAGAAGTGAATCTAACATATATCACACTCGAGAGGTTGTTCTAGAGAAGAAGAGAAAGACTCGTGGTGATGGGTATAGACACACTAAATCTAGAAGGGAAAATTGCATCTTTTGTCTATATGGGTTTCACCCATATGTTTTACACACTTGTTTCTTTTACTAAAGAAACATATATTTAAATCAAGGATGGAAAATGAGTCTCGTGAAACTTTGATTCAAATCAATTTGAGAAAAGCCCAAAGATGGCTTCATGAAGACAATTGATTCGAATTTGGATTTCAACTTGATTTAGATCACAGAAGGTTGTGATTCGAATCATGTTCACTTTATGATTCAAATCAATTTATCCAAAGGCCATTCCTAATTTTCACGAGACTTCTTATTTGAATCAAGATTAAACTTGATTCGAATAATGTAACTCAACATCCTGATATAAAAGTTATAACTTGTTATTCAAGTTATGCTTGATGAATCGACAAAGTAGCAACTTGCTAGGGTAAAAAATAAACAATATCATGGATCAAAAGACTCTTATTCAATTGATCAAGGAGGGTTCTTAGTGGTACACCAACAAAATAGCATAAGCGATTACAATTCAAATGAAATATGAATAAAGTATAAGTACACGAATACTAAATGAGAAGCAAATTACAAATACACAAGTGAACTAAAACAACTACATTCAAATTGGTAAAAACATCAAAACATCAAAAGAACGTTTTAATTTCTCTATTCATTTCTATTTTTTATCCATTTTGAATTTTTAAAATTAAAAAAAAAAAGCCCTAAAATAGAACTATCTAGTTCTGACTTCAATCCAGTAATGAAAAAGATAATTTTTTTTTTGGAGTTGCTTATGAATCATTTAAAAAAATTAGATTATACTCAAGAGGTTGTTCTAGAGAAGAAGAGAAAGATTCACAGTGACGAGTATAGACATACTAAGGAGAAAAGGCAAAATTGTATCTTTTGTCTCTATGGGTTTCACCCATATGTTTTACACACTTGTTGCTTTTACCAAAGAAACAACTATTTAAATCAATAATGGAAAATAGGTCTTGTGAAGCTTTGATTTGAATCAAGAATAAATTTTGACTCAAATCAATTTAAGTAGAGCCTAAATATGGTTTCATGAATACATATTATTCGAGTCAGGATTTTAACTTGATTTGGATCACATGAGGTTGTGATTCTGATCATGTTCATTTTGTGATTCAAATCAATTTATCTAGAGGAAATTCCCAATTTCCACGAGGCTTCTGATTCAGATCATGATTAACACTTATTTCAAATCATGTAACTCAACATATTGATTTGAAAGCTTAACTTGCTAGGCTAAAAAACAAACAGTATCATGGATCAAAAGACTTTTATTCAATTGAGCAAGGAGGGTTCTTAATGGTACAACAACATAATAGCCGAAATGATTATAATTCAAATGAAATACTAATAAGTACAAACACATGAATATTAAATGAGAAATAAATTATAAATACGCAAATGATCTAAAACAACTACGTTCAAATTAAGAAAAACATCAAAACAAATAAGCGATACCATACGATACAATGGCTTCACTTTCAATTCGAACTCAAGTACTTCAATCTGCTAGGTTGAGAAAACTTTGAATCGATGAATCGAAGTAGGAATATCCAATCGTGGAAAACATGGGAATCAAAAGTTGATTCGTGCAGACGACGCCACTGTTCCTTTATGGAACCATAATTAATAAAAAAAATAGAGGTTGTGATATGCAACAGTAGAATAGAACTTCTGATGTGATGGAGGAGGGGCTTTCTTACATGTTAGCACTCTAATGCTCAAGTCAGTATGTGAATGAGATGAGTGAGTGAATTTTTCATTTGAAATTGTGTATTTGAAATTGGCGTGCGTGCTCTTCATATAGCAGAACAGTAACAATGACTTTGCTATTCTTCAGGCATAGGACGCGGGAATGTGTTGGGTGTATCTTGGACATGGATCTCCTATGCTCCTCCACAGGGTAATCCCCTACGTTTCAGAAAATTACTACTTCCTTTTGGCTTGGATAGTTAGCTCTTTTGGCCAACCCAGAACATAAACAGTACCATTGGTAACACATAGATGACTAAATATTTTCCTATGTTCATCCATACACAAGCTATGAAAGTGCCCCTTCAACAACAGTTGGTTTAAAATAACTTTTTTTTGATATAGCCCTTCAAGTTTCTCCCAAAGATTTTTAACAGACGCTGTACTAAGAACATTTGCAAGAATATTCTTAGCTAAAGACACGAGGATAGTATTCGAGTATCTCAAATATAGTTCCCCCAACTTCTTATTTTCCATGTTGGAAATATTTCCTTTAAACACCTTGTGTAATACTAATTGTATTAAAACATCTTTGACTTGAATTTTCCACAAGTCAAAATTGATTCGTCTATCAAATTTCTCTAAGTCAAGTCTCACAACACTTGAAAAATTTGATATTGCAGCCAAAACCTTTCTCCGGCAAATTTTTTTCCAACCAACACAAAGTATAAAGTTTATTTTCTGATGTGGAAGATCAAATTAAACTGCAAGCAAAGAAAATACTAAAAAATTTATACTCCGCCAAACCAAGACTCTTAATACCAATTATTATGAAAAACAAATATTCATGGAAAAAAGAAACACAATAATAACACAAAAGTTTAATGTTGAAACTCCAAAGTCGAAGAAAAAAACAACTGGAAAAAAGAAACACAATAATAATACCAAAGTTTAATGTTTAACTTTTCAGACTCACACGTCTTCAGGAAATTCTACTGGAAAGACTGGTCTGACTTCTTTCAAAACCAAGTCACAAGTACATGGTGGAGCTCGAGAGCATAATCGTGTTTGCACCCACTGCAACAAAACTAATCACACAATTGAGACTTATTTCCTCAAACACAGTTATCCACCTGGCTTCAAGGGCAAAGGTAAATCTCAAAATACAAACTCTTCATATTAGTCTTTTGCTTCTCTGCATGCAGTTTCTGATGAATCCCAACCAAGTTTTGGTTTTACTCAAGAGCAATACAACAACATTACAAAATTACTTAGCAGTCAAAACCCATACACAAAGCCAATTCCATATCTAAATCTCCTTTTGTATTGAACTCACATTCTTCTCATGACAAAAGTAAGAATCCTAATCTTTGGATTCTTGATACAAGAGCAACTGACCATATATCTTATGATTTAGCTTCCTTTAATTTTTGCAAAACCATTATACTTGTCTATGTTAGTTTACTTGATGGCTCTCAAGTTGTTGCTTCCATGTCTGGTAGCATTGCCATATCACATGTCTTAACCTTACACAATGTGCTTTACATTCCCATTTTTCATGTTAACTTGCTCTCTATTGCTAAACTTCTTACTAGCAATGATTGACATGTTACTTTCACTGCTAATTCTTGCAAAATTCTGCATAACCATTCCAAGGAAATGATTGGTATATCTAGCTTACAAAGAGGATTGTATATGGTTGATGCTACAAATCACTCTCAAGTTCATAATTCTAGGTCTCAATCCTCTTGTAATATCTGGCATCTGAGATTAAGTCATATCTCTAATGATGGTTTAAGACATATTTCCAAAGTTTTTCCCTTTATTCCTTATGAGCACAATACATTTCCTTGTGATTCTTGTCATTTTGGTAAAAAAAAAAAGAAATTGTTATTTCCTAATAGCACAACTATTACTAGTGTTCCTTTTGAGATATTGCATACTGATTTGTGGGAGCCCTTTTCTACTACATCTATACTAGTTCATAGATACATTTTGAATTTTGTAGATGACTATTCTAGGTACACTTGGATTATATTTCTCAAATCCAAAGCTCAAACTAAAAATAGCCTTATCTAGCTTGTAGCTTACATTGAAAATCAATTCAAAACATCCCTAAAATGTCTAAGATATGATAATGTGACTAAGTTTATTTCTCTTACTAAATTTTTTATATCTAAAGGATTGTTCATAAAAAATCTTGTGTTGAAACACCCCAACAAAATGGGGTAGTAGAGAAGAAACATCAACACATATTAAATGTAGCTAGAACCCTTTTCTTTCATTCTTCTATTCCCTTGAACATGTGGAATTTTTGTATTCAACATGCTATACATCTTATTAACAAGTTGCCTACACCTTTATTGAATCTTAAATGTCCCTATGAGCTTTTACATCAAAAACCTCTCATTTTAATTCACTTGAAAGTCTTTGACTGTTTAAGCTTTGCCTCTACTTTATAGGCTCATAGAACTAAATTTAAACCTATAGCTCAATTTTATAAAAAGTGTTTCATAAATTTGTGGAGGCCATATTATTATGTATTTGTATCTATTAAAACCATATTATAATTGATAGAATAGTAACCAATATTAAAAGAAAATTCAATCTATTCAAATAATAAACACTTGGTCGAATTGCAAAGAACTTTTTTCTTTCATTTTCATATATATATATATATATATATATATATATATATATATATATATATATATATATATATATATATATATATATATATATATATATATATATATATATATATATATATATATATATATAATGCTTTTGACCGATGTATTTTGAAACGAAGAACTTGAATATTTTATATAATCTTAAACTCTTTATTCCTTTAGGAAAGTAAGCATGTAAGACTTATTCAAAATGTACATTTTTAATCAATCCTAACAATTTTCATCTTGATTGAAAATAATACACTAGTTTTCATTATCTTTAACGACGATCATAATTCATACAGAAAACCAGGTTAAAAACTTATGGTGCAATTTTCATGTTGTTAGGAAGTTTTTAAATTATCGGCATAAACTCATAACACACTTTGTATCAAGGCTCATGTGTTAATTCGTTAGTAATAACTCGTCCTTTACCATAATATCTAAAATGTTATGAGGACACACTTCTCAATTTTCAGAAAAGATCATCATCTCCAATAACGAGGGAGACATTGCTAGCATTTGACTCAGAGCTCTTCTCTAATGTTGTCCCATCCAGACACTTATACTTTACATGTCAAATTTTTCCATATTTTCAACATCTCACACTCATTTCATTGTTTTTCTCCACATAAGACCTTCCTCTAGTATCCAACACAAAGTTTGATGAAAGAATGTTATCTTTAACCTTCAATCTTCTTTCTTTAGAAATAATTTTACTACCAACTTCTTCAAAACTCAAAGTTACATTCCCATATATCAAAACATGTTTTATATGCTTATAAGAAGATGGAAGAGACCATACGAGTTTGAAAGTTTTATCCTCATTATCAATCTTAACTCTAATAGTTTCTAATTCAGAAACATGGCCATTATGGAGCCAAAATTGATCGGAGAACAAAGGTTGTGAGATGCAACTATAGACTGGAACTTATGATGCGGTGGATGAGGGGCTTACATGCAAGGTTAACACTCCAACACTCAAGTAAGTATCTGAATGAGATAAGTGAGTGGATTTTGAGTTTGAAATTATGTATCTGAAATTGGCTTGCATGCCATTTAAATATTGGAGCGGCTGTAACGACTTTGCTATCTCGATGGGCCAGTCACTTCTGAAAGATCGGATGTTCATGCTCCCCAACTACATGGTGAGGGAGGCTACATTAATCTCAATGACTTTTCACTCCCTTTGGTCTTACTGCAGTGCCTAGTAGATTATTGTAGATCTTTCAAGGTTGGCATTAATTGTACTTGACTCACCATGAAGGTTGTGGAATTTGAGTTTGAGCTGGACCGACGAAGCCACGACATCTAAGGTCGATGCAAAAGGTTTTTTGAGGATGCAATTGTATACATTCTTGCACATTACTATAGGAAACTACGAGTCTATGATCCTGACGTCTCTTTCTTCACCCACAATATCCTTAACTCAATGTATCCCCATGGGCGAGTGGTCATACCGTTGAACAATTGTAATCTGACCCATCACATGGCCACAAGTTCTTTTTCTTAAGGCCATTTTTTCAAACATATCGGAATACATTGTGTTACAAGAGATGTCGCCATTAATAAGTATGTATGACACATCAAATTGGCATATCACAGAATTAATGACAACGTGGAAGATGTCATTTAGGGCTCCCCCGATCTTTTTTATATCCCATAAACCAAGCATTGGCCTATCTAGTGTCTTTACTGAGGAGCTTTAGTATTTCTTATGAAAGACCATTAATTCAAAAATATTCCTCTTCATGGTTTCCTTTGACGAGATATTCGGTCAAGATGCTCCTGGAGTGATAGCCAAAGTATGTTAGAGCTTTCTCTTATTTGCTCCTTTGTTTTCCCTACTGGTGTCTTCGCTGTTAGCTTTAACATCCATAGTCTTGGATAGGGATTTTTTTTCCGGTGAGTCTTCCCTGTCTCTCTTCCCTCCCTAGGTATACTCAAATAAATGGCCCATCTTTATCAAACCATCGATTACGTCCTTCAACTAGATGCATTAGTTTGTGGTGTGGCAACGACCCTTGTCAAAATGACAATATTTAGTCATGTTAGTTTTGAGGTTGATGGTGGCACTTGAAGTCAGAGCGAAGGCTCACCTAGTTGGAGCTACAAAAAAATCATGCAATCTGAGGAGGTTAGAGGATATTTGAATTTAGTAGAGTATTTACGATGGTCTGATCCACACCTCCTTGAGAAGGAGGCGATTGATTTCTTACGACTTAAACAACACCAGCGGCTGAGCAAGTGACTTTATATCCAACCATTATCGAAAGATCTAAAGACTGGAGATTTAGAATGTTTGAAAATCAGAGTTGATCTATTATTGAAATAAATACAAAGAATAGATATGTGGCTCGTGTTGAGTGAGAATATGGACACAAAGAGACCTAAGGGGTTGAATAGACCCTTTTCCTTAAGACAATTTCAAAAAAAATTAGGTCTCACAAATGAAATCAAGTATTTTAAGAAGCGTGGAAGCAAAACAGGAAAACAAGAGAGCTTGAAAGCATCTCAATGAATTTCACCAAATGAAATAATACAAGATGTTACTAAGTGCTTGATTGCTTTTAATGCAAGTTAATCACAAGACAACCAAAACCAATACAAAAAAAGTGATTTAAAAAACTCTTCACATAAATATTCTATCAAGTTATAATTGGATTCATGATAATTCTATAAGATTGATACACCACAAACTCAAGCTTATACATAAAATCTCTATAATTATAGTCTAACTTATGTGGCATACAATCAATGTAATTATGCAATCACAATATTAATGGATGCTAGTAAAGTAAATGAGATAAGGGAAGAAGAAAAGATACACAAGGATATATAGTGGTTCGGGATTCGTCCTTGCTT